TCTTCCTCTGGCGCTTATTTTTATTGTCAGAAGGCTTAGAAGAAGCAGCTCGTTTAGGAGCCATCATAGGGCTTAGATAAATTTTCTTAAAAATCGCAAACAATTACAGTACACTGTACAAAAGCAAAAATGCATCTGATATGTACTCCGATACATAGCGATGCAGACAGATGCGTGTACAGTATGAGGCAATCAGTGGCAGTAATGACAGAGCCTAAGCTGTTATGCAAAAACCGCGATAGAGTGAAGCCGCGGAAGTTGAAGCATGAAGTGGCGAGGGTTCACTGTAGTATGAAAAATTAGGTTTAATCTGCTTGTTTTTTACACAGTAAATGTACAGGAATTAAAGGGAGAATTCTGAGCACCCAGTTTGCAGAAGACTGAATGACCATGAAAGCCCAAAATCCATTTGTAGAGTCCCCATGCAGATTAAGTCTCCTTTGAATTCCCTTAGACCAGCAGTTCTCAACCCGTGGGTCACGACCCCTTTGGGGGGTCAAAAGACCGTTTCACAGGGGTCTCCTAAGACCATCAGAAAACACATATTTCTGATTGTCTTAGGAACTGAAACACTGCTCTTCTATCCGTCTCCAGGAGGGTCTGCCCACATATGAGTACCTGGTATATAGCCTGTTACCCATGCTACACCATGCTTTAAAACATAATTTCATTTATTTGTAATCAGAAATAAATACTTCACAATATATAATTATATATTGTTTTGTGATTAATCACTATGCTTTAACTATGTCCAGTTTGTAACAATGAAAATATATCCGGCATATCAGATCTTTACATTATGATTCACAACTAGCAAAATTACAGTTATAAAGTAGCAACGACAATAATGTTCTGGTTGGGGTCAGCACCACATGAGGACCTGTACTAAGGGCGCGGCATGAGGACGGCTGAGAACCACGGCCCTAGACAAGGGATTTGGATCGTCTTGCCCTCAGAGTGCATTGGAAAGTGGATTACTGCCATCAAGTTGGTGCTGGCAACCCTGTAGGGCATCGTTGAGCTGTCCCTGTGAGTTTCAAGATTGTGGAGCTTTCTCATAAGGAGCTCCCTTGCGGTTGGCAGCCCAGTGCCACTACACTACCAGAGCCCAGACTGCAAATAGAGTTAGTTGAAAATATAACATCTTCTCATTTGTTTTCCCTTTTGACCCATTTTTAATTTGTTCTTCCCTCACTTCTCTCACTGCCATCAAGTCGATTCTGACTCTTTGCAATCCTAATGGACAAGGTAGAATTGCCCCTGTGAGGTTCCAACATTGTAACGCTTTAAAGGAGTAGAAAGCCTCGTCTTTCTCACCTTGAAGTGGTTGGTGGTTTTGAACTGCTGACATTGCAGTTAGCAGCCCACTTTGTAACCACTATGCCAACAGTGCTTCTGATTTTTTCTGGTTGTTACTATTTTCTGCTTTCTTTTAGATTGAGTTTTGTCTGTGTTGTATTTTGTTGTTGGTTTGGGTTTGGGTATGATTTTCTTTATATGAAATCCAGGATAGAGACAGTAACTAGATAGTTTCTTTGGGTTAAGGCAAGATAGATTGAAGGGAAATAGGTATAAGAATGAAAAAAAAAGTTCCAAAATTGATTGTGGTGATGACTGCACAACTCTTTTTAATATATTGAAACCATTGAATTGTATGGCATGTGAATTACTAAAAAATTTTAAAAGTCAAGAGAACTAAAGATTATAAACTGTGTTTGCTGATTCTGAATGTGTTTACATCATTGTTTCCTCTATATTAACCCCATTCATTTTCTCTTTAATTAACCTTTTTTGTATTGAAAACAGTCTAGATTTAAATGGTAAAGAAACAATTAGTATGTATATGATTTAGTTTCCATTTTCAGATTGTACTTCTTGAAGCTAGGTATATGATGGCATGATTTACTAGCTGAGGTCCATCCAGTAAATGACCAGAATATTAGCACACAGTTGTCCCTCAATAAAATCTATTTAACTACCGATCTTTGATTGTTTCAGGTGACGTGGCTGTATGTTATACAGATTGCAAGTTTATTCCTGGTCTGCATTCTTCAGTTTTTTAATTCCATGATTCTTGGATCACTGCTTATAAGTTTTAACTTTTCAGTATTAATTGTGAGAAAAATTCAGGTAGGATTTTTTTTCTGCCCTTAATTAAACTTTCTTTATAAATTGTTTGATTGGCTAAACCTTATTTTGTACAGCATACAAAGGAGAATTTATGACCAGGTTCCCATAAAAGCATACTGGTGGTATTACTTTTAGTGAAGTGCATGGTGTGGCATCTCTGTTTTCAGTACTTCTGTGATCATGTACAATTCTTTTGTTTTGATACTTACTAATTTCTAGAGAATTGAAGTCTTATTCATTTGGGGATTAACCAGAGATGCTTTGTTAAATGCTATTGAGAGTTAAAATTGAAATAAAAGAAAATACGTTTTAACTTCGTGTGTGTGTCTGAACGCAAGATCAAAATTTGTTGTTTATTGTGAATGTACTCTTCATTCAGGTGACAGGTTCTTTGGTGTTTGATGTAGTAACACTACCCTTCTCCTTATGCTGTCATACCATAATACTGATTTTTAAGTGAAGTAAAATTTTGGTCAGTTTTGGAGGATCTAAATAAATTCCTTTAGATATAATGAGCGATTCCCAAAGGCATAGTAATACTGTATTTGAAACATTGAACTAATCTTTGGCATTATTATATAATTAAAGTTTGTTAAATGTACAAAAGATTTAAGAGTCGTTATATTTCTTTAATTGTGACATAGATGTTTCCTTTCTTATAGGCCTTTAATATTTCTAGATCAAGAAATCAGTTTGTTCTCTTCTGTTGAAAGGAAAACCCTTTTCACAATAGTTTTTTTGAATAAAAATGTTGTCGTGCTGAAGGTTGTATGTCAACTTGGCTGGACTATGATTGTAGTGTGGCAATCATCACCAATGACAAATCTGGTAAAATAGAATTACCTCCATGCTGTTATCTACCAGGAGCAGCCAACTGATTGTAAGGAGATTTCGTCCAGGATGTGACTTACATCCATTATGTGTGGACATCTGACAAATGGGCTAGTCTTTTGTTCACTCTGGTTCCTACATCTTATTCTCATCATCTAACCATCACTTTTTGAGACTTTAGCCAGCGACCTGCCATGCTGTCTGACAGTCTTGGGATTCCTTACCTTCTACAGCCTGTGAGCTAGCAGTTTACCAGTTTACCTGCCAATCTTGGATTCCTCAGCCTTCACAGCCCATAAGCCTGCTGTCTGATCTGCTGATCTGCTGGGTTGTCAAGCCTGGCAGTTACATGAGTCAGGAGAAGTTCCCAGCCTTCCATCTGACCCATGGACTTGGGACTTGGCAGCCTCTTCAACCTTGTGAGCCATTTCCTTGAGATTAAAAAAGATATATGCATACATACAGGCATATATAATGTATATTAAGCTTCACTGGTTTTGCCTCTCTTGAAAACCAGCCTAAGACCTTTGGTCCTAGGAGAGGTCCTAGGGGACAAAATCATCATGATGGTTTTGGTTCTTGGTAAGAATTGGGGCTCTGAGTGATCACGTTTAATAATATTTTGAAATTTAACCTGAAAGAGAAGCATAGGGAAGTTAATTGGTCGGACCTACTTAAACTAGACAAAATGGTTTAAAAAGAGAGAGAGCGATTTGCTCAAGGTGTTGGAGTTATAGTTAAAGGCCACATAAAAGACCGTGAAGTTTCCATTTATGCCCTGAGACTCTTATTTCTTAAAGCAACTGAGCTAATATTGCCCCAAACCAAACCCAGAGTCTTGTATCTGAACCGCAACACCAATTAAATTATGTTGATGTTAACGTGAGGGCATTGATTAGAAAGAAATGGAATCCTGACACTTGGGGTGGGAACATATGAGCAGATTATTAGGAAATGGTGGGAGGGTGTTATTCCCCTAAGAAAATAATAAGCCAAAAGTAATACCACATTCCTGAAGGGATTACAGAGATTAATGCTACTATCAAGAAGATAGTGAATATGAAGACTATAGAGTCACTGTAAGAATATTGTGAATATGAAGAAGAATGTGGCAGCAGGATTGGAGGAAGGCTTTATGACCTGCGATATGCAGGTGATACAATCTTGCCTCCTGAAAGTGAAGAGAGCTTGAAGCACTTGCTGTTGAAGATCAAGGACTGCAACCTTCAGTATGAATTATAAATCAATTCAAAAGAACCAAAATTCTCCAGTCGGGCCAAAAGGTAATGTAAGTGGAGCAAAGGTTGAAATTGTCGAAGATTTTGTCCACAATCATTGCTCACGGGAACAGCAGTCAATACATCAAAAGATGCATTGCATTGGATAAATCTGCTGCACAAGACCTCTTTATTTATTTTATTTTTAAAAAAATTTTATTTTTTTAAATTTAATTTTATTTTTTTAACATTTTATTAGGGGCTCATACAACTGTTATCCCAATCCATACACACATCAATTGTGTAAAGCCCATTTGTACATCGTTTCTCAAAACATTTTCTCTCCATTTAAGCCCCCGACATTAGGTCCTCATTTTTCCCCTCCCTCCCCGCTCCCCCCTCCCTCATGAGCCCTTGATAGTTTATAAATGGGTATTTTGTCATATTTTGCCCTGTCCGACGGCACAAGACCTCTTTAAAGGTTGAAATGCAAGGATGTTACTTTGGGGACAAAGTATGCCTGATCCAAATATACCCATGATATTTTCAGTCATTTTGTATACATGTAAAAGTTGGACACTAAACAAGGAAGACCGAAGAATTGATGTATTTGAATTTTGGTGCTGTCTAAAGAATATTAGAAGTACCATGACTTGCCAAAAGAACCTATGCTGGAACTACAGTAAGAATGCTCCTTGGAGGCAAGGATGGAAAGACTTTGTTTCCCATACTTTGGACATGTTGTCAGGAAAGACCAGACCCTGGAGAAGGACGTCATGCTTGGTGACGTAGAAGGGCAGTGAAAAAGAGGAAGGCCCTCCACAAGATGGACTGACACCGTGACTGTAGCAAGCTTAAGAACAACGGGCAGTGTTTGTTCTGCTGTACATAAAGTCCCTATGAATTGGAATCAACTCTGGAACCCACAATAATAATCAAGCACTGGAGGATGCAAAGGTGATGATTCCCCCAACATCTCTGTTAAACCTGCCTATTTGACCTAAGTTAAACAAAAACAAAACAGATGATCCTTGGAGAATGACAGTAGATTACTGTCAACTTATCCAAGTAGTCACTGCAATTATTACTGTTACTCCAGAATGATTTCAGTGTGTGAACAAATTATGCATCTTCTGGTACCTGAGATGTATATAACGGTCTGGCCATTGCCTTGTTCTCAGTATTGGTTTCTGAGGATGACCAAAAGGCCTTCAGCTGACAGCCCAGAGTAGGCCCTGATTGTCCTACTTTATGGGTCTAGCCACTTCCTCGGCTGTATCAGCTATCCACCACAGTGTCTTAATTTATTCCTCAGACTTTGATTCCTTTTCCTTTCACAGGATAGAGCATTGGTCCATTCCATTGAGGACATTGTGCTGATTGGACCTAGTAAAGAAGAACTATGAATGACTCTAGACTTTAATAAGACATTTGTATGTAGAAGATGGGAAGTTAACCCAACGAAAATTAAGGCCCTTCCACTTAGTGAAATTTCTAGGAGTCCAACAGTATGGAGCATATCGTGATATTCTTTCAAAGCGGAAAATATGTTGTTATAATATTGGCCCCTTTCTACAACCAAACAAGTAATGCTTTGGGTTTTGCAAGCACCGTATCCCTCATTAAAAGCCCAGTTGGCATAACTATGCACTGAACTGAATCCACCAATCACTCCTCAGGAGAAAAAAGAAGCTATTTGCTCCCATAAAGATTTAGAGTTTTAGAACCCAAAGGGCCAGTTCTGCTCTGCCCTATAGGGTAACTAGGAGTTGGAATCAACTCAATGTCAGGGAGTTTGGGCTTGGATAGTCCTCATTTCATTGTGTACTTCAACCTCTTTTATGAAGTGATTCCAGAATCTGCTACTTTTGAGTGGGGCCCAGAACAAGAGAAGACACTAACTAAAGTTCAGGCTGCCGTGCAAGGTGCTCTGCCACGTGGGTCATAGTATCTGGCTGGTCCAGTGGGGCTTGAGTTGTCAGTGGGAGGCAGAAGCGCAGTTTGGAAGTTTGGACAGGCCCCTGTTGATGTATAACAGCACAGACCCGGAGATCTTTGGAGCAAAGCTGTGTTATCTTTTGCAGATAACTTCTCTCCTTATGAGGAACGGCTTTGAGCTTGTTAATGGACCTTTGTAGAGGCTGAACATTTAACCATGGGTCACCAAGCCACCATCAGCCTGAGCTGCGCATCTTGAACTGAGTTTTTTGGCATATAAGGTCATAAGTTTGGTTGAGCTTCGCAGCACTTCACCATTTAATGCAAGTGGCATTTTCAAGATCAGGCTTGAGCAGAACTTGAATGCACAAATAAGTTACATAGAGAAGTGGCCCAGGTGGCCATTGTATCAGCTCCTGTCATATTATCTTCCTTCTCTCATTCTTCACCTATGATCTCAGGGAGAGGTCTTAAATCAATTGACCCAGAAAAAGAAACTCATGCTTGATTTATAGATGCTGCTGTGCAGTATCCAGGCACCCTCAAAAGTGGACAGCCCCTTTCGGGGACTCTAGAAAGGCAGTGGTGAAGGGAAATCTTTCCAATGAACAGAACTGCAAGCAATGTGGTTGTTCACTCTGCTTAGAAGTGGCACTGCCCAGCTCTGTGATTGTATACTGATTTGTGGACTGTGCCAATGGTTTGGCTGCATGGTCAGGGACAACAAAGAAATAGGATTGGAAAATTGGTGACAAGGAGTTCTGGGGAAGACATAAGGATAGACCTCTCTAAATGGGCCCCAAAAGTGAAGATATATGTTTCGTGTGAATGCTCACCAAAGGGTGATCCCGCAGAGGGAGATTTTCACAGTCGGGTGAACAGGATGACACATTCAGTGGAAACAGTCATTCTCTTTCTCCAGCCACTCCTGTTATTACCTAATGGGCTCATGAACAGAATAACCTAGTGGCAAGGATGGAGACTATGCATTGGCTCAGCAACACAGAATTCCACTCACCACGGCTGATTTGGCTACAGACACTGATGGGTGCCCAGTCTGTCAGCAGCAGAGACCAAAATTGGCCCCTCTATATGGAACCACTTTTCAGGGTGATCACCCAGCAGCCTAGTGGTACGGTGATCATATTGGTCAACGTCCATCATGAAAAAGAGCAGTGTTTTGTTCTCACTGTAATAGACACTGTAGATACAAATTTGCCTCCCCTGCATGATGCTTCTGCCAAAACTACCATCATAAAATTCCTCAGCCACCATTATCGTAATATCGCACAACCTTGCCTCAGATTAGGGGACTCAATTCACAACCAGTATCCAATATGTGGGACTATTTCTACAATAGCCAAGGTCCATGAATTTAAGAAGCAAGATTGGAAATGAAGTGACCCCATTTACTATTACCTCTAGTGACCCACTTGAAATTTTTTGCTTCCTGACCCTGCAGCCCTATGCTCTGCAGTCTGAAGGTCTTCATTTCAAAGGGAGGAATATTCCAGCCTGGAGGCACAATACTGATTTCCCTGAACTAGAAGGTTTTTTTTGTTTGGTTCTTTTTTACTGTTTCTTTTTTTTTTTTTTTTAACATTTTATTAGGGGCTCATACAACTGTTATCCCAATCCATACACACATCAATTGTGTAAAGCGCATTTGTACATCATTTCTCAAAACATTTTCTCTCCACTTAAACCCCCTACATTAGGTCCTCATTTTTCCCCTCCCTCCCCGCTTCCCCCTCCCTCATGAGCCCTTGATAGTTTATAAATGGGTATTTTGTCATATCTTGCCCTGTCCGACGTCTCCCTTCATCCACTTTTCGGTTGTCTGTCCCCCAGGGAGGAAGTTTAAGAATCCCACCTGGTAGATTTGGGCTCTCAGGCCTCTGGTTGAATAAGCTAAGAAATGAGTTTTATTGGATGGTGTGAGCCTGGTTACCAAGGGGAAACTAGATTGATGTTGCATAATGGAAGTAATGTAAGAGGATGTCTGGAATACAGAAAATTCCTTGGAACATCTCTTCCTACTACCATGCCCTATAATGAAAGTGGATGGAAAACCACAGCAGCCCAATTCAGACTAACTACTAAGGGACAGAACTCAGAGCACTGTGGTTGCTCACTTCCTTTGGAAGGACAAATGGCCAGCTGTGTGATTGTAGGCTATAACCAGTCATTTGACCAATGGTCAGGAATGAAAGTTTGGGTCACGCTCTCTACCATCATTGCCCCACCATACCCCTACCGCCTAAGTTGAGGTGCTTGTTGAGGGGCAAAGGGAATATGGAATGGGTGGTAGAAAGAGGTAATTCTAAACACCAGCCATGACTGTGACCAGTTATAGAACTATAATTGTTATGAGTAATTCTCATATGTATGCATGAAATATTTTTTTATTTCTTCACTTATGAATTATGAGATGTAAGTGGAGCTACTGTGTTTCTGGTTGCATGTATGTTGTATCCTGTTTGGCACAAGTACAAATTTATAATTGTACTTGTATATTGTATAAATTTGTACTTATAATTGTATAAATTTATTTAGAGAGTATGTATGGTTTAAGGAGTTCATGTACAGGTGTAGTCTGTGATGTAGTTAATTTAACTGGGTCATGAGTCTTTGGTTTAGCAATCATCCTCCATGATGAGATCTGATATAATGTAATCACTTCCAAGGGGAGATCAGTTGAAAGGATTTCCTTTGAGGATGTGGCTTGTGTCGGACATAAATGAATATTCTGGCAAACTTCGTTAGCTTTTGCACACTCTGGATTCTACGTACAACCTTCATCATCAGACCTTTGGTTTGGGATTTGAACCAACAACCTGCAGAACTTGGAATTTGTTAGCCTCAACCACCCGTGATCCAGCAGCCAACCATCTTTCCTGCTGATAGTAGCTGTTACAGCCTTACAAGCCAGCAGCCTGCTGTCTGACTTGCCAAACTTTTGATTGTTGACTTCTGTGGGTACAAGAGTCTGGAGACACATAGAACCTGACATGTGACCCATGTACTTGGGACTTGTTAGCCTCTACAAGTACACGAGACATTTCCTTGAGATAAATGTTTATATATGTGTATAAACTCTTCACTAGTTTTAGAGAACCCAGCCTAAGGCATATCCTATGGGAAAACTGCCGCAAAAATAACGAGTAGACTTTCTGAAAATAAAATTTATTTATCCTTTTAACTTTCATTATAAGTAAGTGTTGCTTGCATTTAAACTCTTTAAGCACTAAGCATTATACTTGTCAATCTCTAAAGTTATCTAAGAATTGTGAGAAAAATACTATATCAATAAGCAAAGTTTGCTTTACTGTATTGCTAGAATTTTTATATAATTGCATTTTAGCTGTGTCTATAATATATGAATTAATAGATAACCAATGTGTTGGTTTGTAAACATAATCCCGAGTACCTTCCAAGTACAGACTTCCTACTCAGGTTATGAAGGTGTAAGAAAAATATTGATTGGGACACACTTTCTCATCTAGTGAAGTTCATTATTAAGATATTCGTTTACTATTAAAAATGTCAAGGCCGCGCTATATCTATCATCCCTATGAAGTTGATTCTGTCTCCTGGCGATCTCATGTATTAAAAAGCAGAACTGCTCCATAGGATTTTCATGGCTTTAATCTTTGTGGAAGATCCTTGAAAACCTACCCAGTAGCACCATGGGAAAAAAGCCCAGCAATCTATTTCCATAAAGATTATAGTCAAGAAAATTCTGTATAAAACAAAGCTGTCATGAGTTGAAAAGAACTATTGGGAACAGGTTCATTGGTGGCTGAGGTTTTTTAAATCTATGCAAAAGCTCATCCCCAGGGCTTTTACCTGCCATTCTGCTAGGTGGATCATGAAGACGTGTAGGCTTTATATTCCACACAGGTTTTCATATATTCTTATATGTTGTACAAGCCAACGTTTTAAATCCTCAGTAATCGCGTCCTGAGTGTTTATCATGCCACATTAAAATTTAAGAATTAAAACCAAACTCTTTTGATTTCTAGACAAATATGAAAACTGGAAGCTTCTTTAATAGGCTTGGGAAACTTTTGTTACATTTATTCATGGTTTTATGTTTGACCCTTTTTCTCAACAATGTTATTAAGGTAAGAAAATGACATTTAATGTATTTTCTAATTTACTTTTGTATTATTTTATTAATACATATTTTATTTTGTTTACAGTTAGAGTTTATATAACAAATTATCTAATAATTCCATGGGAGGGAGAGAATTTTCTAAACTTTATATTTCAAATTATTTAATTCTTTATGAAGTACGTTAACTATTTCATTGACAAGGATTACTTGCTTGATTTTTGTCACTGATTTCACTCCTCTTCAACATAGTCTACAATGTTAACTTTTTGAGTAATTAAACTTTTAAAAAACTTGTAATTTTGATTTAGGTGGAGTTGGGGATTTACAGTTATGAAACTTATTTAAAGCTCAACTTTAAAAGCATTAAATACTTCTGTAATTAAAAAATCTAACTTTTAAAGATAATTTTTAATATAAAGGTATTTGAAAAAATTTGATTCTTATTGGGGTGAGTTAATTTTCATTTTTGCTAGAAAGAAATATATGGCTCATTTTTGGTAGATAATATCCATTAGTCAGATTACCTAAAATTAGCCCTGTACCTCAAAATAATTCAATTATAAGTCAGGTGTTCATCTCATCTAGTCACTAGATGCTCTACTCTATTTTTAAGGCTACTTAGTTGAACATGTTTTGAGCTTTTTCAAACTAATACTATTGGGAGGACAGGCTTGACTTCAGGGTAAGGGTCTATAACTCAGGGGCTTGTTTCCCCCAGGTGTTCGTGTGATAGAGTCGAACCACAAGAATTCCTTGAGAACATTTTGCCCCTCCTAGGAAGTGATGATGCAAGACACACGTGATGGCAGGCTCCTTCTCCTTCCTAAGTGGCGGGTGACCCCACTTCCTGTCTGCTGACTGTCTTCCTCAACAGGCCACATGAACACGTCCACTCCAGGGGTTTGGCAGTATGCACGCAGCGCCGTGCAGCGCAGTGCTTGAGCTGAATGGCTCATGTTTCTGGAAGATTGGCAGGAAGGCAGTAGTCTACTCAGTTCCCTCTCTGGGTTCCCAGTGCTCTCTTCTTGGGTGAGGTCAGTCCAGTCGAGAGCCAGGACCACTGTTTTCTTCTCAAAGAGTAACTTGTGTTGAATTGTCCGTCATGATTTCCAGTGACCTGTAGTGAGAGGAGTTAGAAGATGCAGCTCTATGAAACCCCTTGCTGTTCTTACACACAGCGGGGAAATTTCCCTTGAATCTGAATTCTAAAATGTCAGGATCTCTTTTTAACCAGCAGCTTTAGTCTTTCGGCCTCATGATTAAAACCAGGCTCTGCCTCCCTCTTTGCATTTGTGCTAGAATGCTCACACCCAGACCTGCAGCTCATCTCTAATGAGTGTGTGTTTTGTATGAACCATGGTTCTGACTTCATCTTCCTTTTTTCTATCTTTGTTTTCCTACTGATTTAATTCCTTCATCCTTTTATGTTGTGTGGGTCTTTCTAAGCTGTAAATCAAAAATGAAGTTATATTAATTAAAAGTAAAATCCTGTTAATTGAAATTATAATCACGTATAAGGGATAGCGGCATTTTTCCATTCACTCCTTGGGGATCACTGCTGTGTCTCGACTTGTCTTTGGGTGAATGAGTCTTTCTTACATCAGTTCTATCCATAGGTGCAGTCTAGTGGGCTGTATATCTAGTTCCGAGGGTGATGCTTCAGATCACTGTACCATTGGCTTTCTGGCCAACAAGCTACACTCCCACCTCCCTTCCCCAAACCACAGCAGTCCGGTTTATAAATTGATGTTACATGTAGAACTTAGGTATGAAAAAGACTGGAGAAGGAGAGCAGAACAGTTGAAAGTTCCTGCTTTTGACATCCTCGGTGTCAAGAATTGTCACAAGTATATATTCATTATATTTGTATGGGTGTTTTTGATGGAAAAGTATCGGCAAACCATACTAAGACACTAACAGCAATTTATGTCTTCTTGTTCCCCAATAGAAAACTCTTAACCTGAAGTCAGATGAACACATATTTAAATTTCTGAAGGCGAAATTTGGGTTTGGCGCAACAAGGTATGACTGAATTGCCAATCTATCAGCCTTTTTATCTGAAATCAACAAGGATTTTAAAACTTAAGCCAGCATTGTGCCTTCAATTTAGCTGCAGGTACCTTTTTAAGAAAAATATAATGCTATTTCCTTGCCTTGTATTGAATTTGATCCTGTTGCTTTCTGTTTGTTCCCTAGAGACTTTGATGCAAACCTATACCTGTGTGAAGAAGCTTTTGGTCTCCTCCCTCTTAATACGTTTGAAAGACTCTCAGATACTCTCCTTTTTTATGCCTACATATTCGTTCTGTCCATCACAGTGATTGCAGCTATAGCTGTTGCCTTTCATAATCTCAGGTATGGTATATTTCAGACATCTGACACTCTGCTTTTGTAAATGTGTTCTGTGTTGTAAAAATATTGTTAAATTGAAAATAAAAATAGCAGACAGAACAGAACAGAAGTCATTGAGCATGTAGCAGGAACATTTCCAGTGTGGCAGGATTCCGCGCGCAGAGGCCTGAGTTAAGAGTAGTGGGTCACGGTATGACTGAACAGACTGTAAGTTCTGGCTCTGGACGTTCGAGTCGACGGGATTGTTGAGCCCAGGTGTCAACCCTTCCAGGATTTCCATTTTCTTGTCTATCTGATGGTCAAACCAAGAGTAGTTACTCTAGAGCAAGGCTGTCAAACTGGTGGTCCATGGGCTGCACGCGGCCCCGAGGTCGGTTTTTTTGTGGCCCATGATGTTCTGAAATAAAATGAAAATAGAAAAAAAATTGTTATGAAGAAAATAGTGCTTAGGGGAGATGGAAGCAATACAATGCACACAATCCCCTCATTACATTTTATTTCAGAACATCTTGGGCCACAAAAAATTACCGTGGGGGCCGCATGCAGTCCACAGGCCACCAGTGTGACACCCCTGCTCTATAGGGTTGTGTGAAGAAAAGTCAGGGCAACATAAAGTGAATTAAAATAGTAGCTTGTCTAGAATATTTTGTGGATGTTATCATTAGCTGCTGTCATTGACTTGCAAGTCTTCATTTTGCGCCAGTATTAGTTGTCTTTTCCCTTTTCCTTCCTGTTTCTTTGGTTGCTTTCTTTCTTTTTACGTTTTTAATGAGTTGTTAAAAGTTACGTACTAAGAGGAATCTTGGTGGCATATCCGTTAAAGAGTTACATACTGTTCATTTGTTACATTGTGTTTCAGGGCTCATAAGATTGGAGTGGATCATAATTATTCCTATTTACTAAAAGTCTTGCTGGGGGATGTCTTAAATAATAATCACTATTTTTATAAAGCATTGTCTACTTTACTCAAAGAGAAAGTCAAAGATTAATAAGGCTTTTACAAAGCTGGTCAGGCTATCTTCCTATGAAAGAGAGGTCTTTGTTTTTACTGCCCATGTGAAACGGAGGGAAAATTAAGTATAGGAAGTTGAAGCTTCCGTCAAGTGTGGAAGGGTAATGAAGCTAACAAGGACAGCCTCTCTCTGCATAGGTACCCTGCCAATTAGGGTGCTGGTGAGCTGTGATTCACAGCCTTGAGAGACCCAGGTTGGGGAAAAGTCATTAACATAAGCTCAGATCAGTGGAGATGTTTTATGGCTATTAAGAATGAAGCAACACTGAACCATGAAATATTTCATTGACTATAAACTGCTTTAGTATCTTTCAGAAGCGTTCATTTTTATACCTAGCCCAAGATAAAATTCGGCCCTGTGAAAAGAGATGGAAATTATTCTAGACAGTGTAATTTAATATTGTTCCAGACACACCAAGTGTCGGCAGGACACTAGACTGCATACAAATCAGCAAGCTCAGTTGGCCCGCAGTGCCTGAGTGAAATGTCTGCCATGCTCGGTGGGAATCTAGGAGCTGTCTCTGGAAGCTGATCTGGTTTATGACTAGATCAGAGTTTAGAGCCTCTTCATCTACCAGGTAGGGATAATAGGACTTCTTTTAGAGAGAAAGCACTATGTTAATTAATTTAAGAATCATACTGCCTTAACATGAATTGTTAAGGAGCCCTGGTGGTGCAGTGGTTAAGCATCTAGCTGTTAATTGAAAAGTTGCCGTTCCAGCCCACCAGCTGCTCTACGGGAGAAAGATACAGCAGCTTGCTCTTGTAAAGATTGATAACTTGGGAAACTATGGGGCAGTACTGCTCTGTTCTAAGGGTTGGTATGCATTGGAACCGACTCAGTGGTAATAAAAAATGGATTTGGTTTTTTTATTTAGTAATAGGAATTTTAATTAATATGAAGGATATTTCACTGATGCCAAGTACTTAAAGTATTTCTACTTTTTCAGTTGTAGGAAAGGTGATACTCTTGAATTTACCCCACACGTCTGCATTAGGATGAAGGATACAAAGGAAAGAAACACTATGTTCTGTACTCATGAGGTTAATCAGAGCTTTTCAGCTGGTTGAGGAGATGGAAGAGGGTTGTAGAATTCTCCCCGGGATCACAGGGAGATGAGAGTATACGGTCTCCACTCATCTGAAGTAATCTTAGTATCAATAGGGAAAACCGTTTGGGTTGTAATAGATAAAGCATTTGAGTAAAAGGTTACTGTTGATGGTACAAACTGCCTTAGGAGATCATGCAATTTACGTCTGAATCTGGGAAGGTGAAAAGAGGGTTTTGGGAACTGAATGCTTACTAGTTGCATAGAGAAGCATCATTACCTGTCCAAAGCTGTTGGATTGTGTGGAGGATCAGTGGGGCCTTTATCAAACTGTTGTTTTTATCTTACACTGGCAGCCGTTTTTGTTGTACTTCTCAACAACAAATCACATAATGTCCAAGCCCACTCCTCATTCTTAACATCGTGCAAGTGGAGACAGCCAGACAGTGGTAGCTTTCCTGTTTTGTGCACAGGAAGCACATAAGCTTCTCGGGTGGTGGTCTTTCTTTAGGGAAAAAAATTAACTAAATTGTAGATCTGATTACAAGTTTATAAGAAACCTAGGGAACAAGAAATGTTTTAAATACCACCACCAGGAAGCACCCACCTAAATCCAGAAGGTGGGAAGAGTTATAGAACAAATGATATATTTTCTTCCACAAATAAAGCCTTCAGGAAAAAGAAAGTGGTACTGTTATAGACTGAGAGATGTTTATGGACACATCAATGAAATGCAGTGTGCAGGCAGGCCTTGGATCTGGAATCCAAGAAACCACCTAAGAAAAGCAACCTTGTTAAAAAGGGAAAATAGAATATTGAATGTTGGATGATGTTAAGGAATTCCTGCCAATTTCCTGCTGTGTAATAACTGTAGTGTAGTGATATTTGATAAAAGGAGGCCGAGTTGCACTTCAGTTACACACTCAGTTATTGTCACAAAGGTCAGTCAGTTCAAGCCCACCAGCCTCCCAGCGGGAGAGAGACACGCAGGTCTGCTTCTCCAAAGACAGGCCAGCCTTGGAAACCTGAGAGGGCGGTGCTGTGTGCCACAGGGTCCGCGAGTTAGAGCCTACCTGATGGCACTGGGTTTGGGTTTGGTTTGGTACTTGATAAAAGTCATCTGTTAGACAGACATTCTTGTAGGTTAAAAATGGCTTATTGGCTCATAGGAGAACTTTCAAGTTTATGGATATATTTTTTAAGGAGAGTTCAAAAAGTAGAATTAAAAGATAAAAATTTAAAATACAAATTTTATTACTTTAAACTCCATCAAGATCAAAACACTTTTGTAACGATGGTACCAGTGGTTTAGCCCATCCCTAAAAAATTAAGGGGTCTGGGAATTTAACTAGGCCAATGCAGTCTGTTTTATATCATTAACTAATGGGAAAATAAGCTCCTTTTAAAGATTTTTTTCTTTCTTTTTAAAAAAAATCGTTTTATTAGGGGCTCTTACAACTCTTATCACACTCCATACATACATCAATTGTGTAAAGCACATTTGTACATTCATTGCCCTCACCATTCTCAAAACATTTGCTCTGCACTTAAGCCTCTGGCATCAGGTCCTCACTTTTTCCCCTCCCTCCCCGCTCCCGCCTCCAATTGTTTTCTTCTTTAAAGATTAGAAAGAAGAAGAAAAATGTCAGAAGGACCCAAAATAAGGCTTTCATGTGGATATACCTAATTTCCTTGGGACTCCTGGTAGCACCGTGGGTTACACCTTGTACTGCAAGCCACAAGGTCAGCAGTTCAAAACTACCAGCACCTCCATGGGAACTCTGAGATGTTCTACTCTTTAAAAGACTGACAGTCTCGAAAACCCACGGGGCAGTTCTACTGTGCCCTACAGGGTCACTATAAATCAGAATTGAACCACTAACAGTGAATTTGAATGATTTCCCATTGAAATTCTTGCAAAATTGCCCTTGTTTGAGGTAAAGAATGAGCAAGAGCTTTGTACTGGTGGAGAAGGTCTCTGGTTAAGCTTTACCGGATTTTTTGTTGTTGCTAGTTTTGGCTAGCTTTTTAAATTACTTTAATAATAAGCAGAGTTTCTTCTTTTTCTTTTTTTTTTTTTTTTGCCCTCCAGAAAGTCAACAATCCAAATTCCTTGAGCACCCCAGAAAACTGTTGCCAAGACCATTTATACTCTTGACTGGTCTGCTTTTGCTATTAGGCTCCTTCCACCACTTCTTTGAGTGTGCTTTGTCTTTAAGTATCACACTGGTAAAGCCGAGCAAGCTTCATCTGTTACTGTTCTTCGAACACATGTTGCAGGATTTTGATGTTTAAAGTTCCCATTGGAAGTTCTGCTCGTATCTACAGCTCATCTGGGTACAACAGTGTGATACCATCAAGTAGAAAGTTTACATGACTTTAATTTTTTAGTCAGAATTGTGTAGGCTGAACTAATTGAGATATCTATGTTATTCGCCATTGCTTCCAGATTGTCAGTCTTCTTTAACTAGAGCTTAAATGAGATGTTTTCTTACAAATTGAAGTAGATGGTCTGCTGCTTTGAACTTCATCTTCGTTGTTGCCTCCTTCTTAAAACCAGTTATCCATTTGTAAAATGCTGATTTCTCTTTGATATTATCTCTTTAAACTTTTGTAAAGCATAAGTGATTCCACTGTTCTTCCACTCGAGCTTCAATATAAACTCAGTGTATGTTCTTGCTTCCATTTTAGCAGAATTTATGTTCCCCTGATAGGTGTTCTTTTCAAACTTACGTCGTATTCTTCTGAGTGCCTCAACCTAGGTCCTATTTAGACATGCTGTATAGTAAATTAATACAAGTTCATTTTGATGCAAGTGTTTTGGAAACCTAGTTCCAAAATATTTGTACAAAATATCTTTTCCAGGAACTTTTTGAAGACCCTTTGTACTTTTACTTATTTGTGAAAACTTACAAAATAATAGTGATTTGTAAAATGTCACTAAAGGAATCTCGAAGCTTCAAATGAGTTTTTCCTTCTCTTATAATTTAAAGAATTTAAGCTCTTTAAATTTTTACATAAAATGAAATCCACTGTAAAATTCTAGTTATTCCAGATATTAAGGTATTTTTACTTTTAATCTCATAAACATATTCAAAATGGATTAAGGTTAACTTGTTTCATATTAGGAAAACAGTAAATTTTTTAATAAACGAAAGTAATGGTGTTAGGTGCCATTAAATCCATTCTGACTCATAGCAACCTTGTGTACAACAAAATGAAACATTGCCTCGTTCTGAGCCATCATTACAATTCTTGTTTTTTTTTAATCGTTTTATTAGGGGCTCATACGACTCTTATCACAATCCATACATACATCATTTGTGTAAAGCACATTTGTACATTCATTGCCCTCGTCATTCTCAAAACATTTGCTCTCCACTTAAGCCCCTGGCATCAGGTCCTCATTTTTCCCCTCCCCCGTCCCTCATGAGCCCTTGATAATTTATTTTGTCATATCTTGCCTTGTTATTTTGTCATATCTTGCCCTGTCCGATATCTCCCTTCACCCACTTTTCTGCTGTCCATCCCCCAGGGCAGAGGTCACATGTAGATCCTTGTAATCTTTTCCCTCATTGCAACCCACTCTCCCTCTACCCTCCCAGTATCGCCACTCTCACCACTGGTCCTGAAGGGATCATCCGCCTTGGATTCCCTGTGTTTCCAGTTCCTATCTGTACCAGTGTACATCCTCTGGTCTAGCCAGACTTGCAAGGTAGAATTCGGATCATGATAGGGGGGAGGGGGGAGGCATCATTACAATTCTTATTGTTTGATCCGTTGTCACAGCCACTATTTGTCAATGAACACAGTCAATCTTGGCATTAATTTCTTGTATATTCTACTTTAAGCAAGATGTATTAAAGTTTTATATCCAGCTTAGTTTTATGTCTTTGCTATTTTACTTAGTGTTTCAGCAAATCAACATCCCATGGATAAAGTGAGAAAATGCGCAGTTGAACTAAAACCAGAAACTGCCTATAACTTAATGCATACTATTCTATTTGGATTCCTGGCATTGAGTACAATGAGGTAATTTTGTCTAATAATTTGGTTGACTTTTTTTAATTGAGCCACTCTTAATTTAGAAATATAATTTGGAAGCTGACAATCATCTTCATTAATAAATATGATTCCTATAAAAGTACTTTTGTTTACTGATGTCTTTTTCCAGTACAAAGTAGTAGCGTTTATTTCCTCATTGCAAGCATTCCCCTGTAGTGTACTGATGTACAGATCCCACAAGGGCAATGGAGCTAATAACTCCTTAGCACATGGGGCCTGCATAATGACAGTAAGATGCTACTGTTAAAGCTGTCCCAGTGCCCTTGCAAGTATCTCAGACTCCAAGTTTAAACACAGCCGTGTAGTGCTTGTTGACTTTCGCTGACTTATGTTCTTACAGGATGAAATACCTCTGGACATCACACATGTGTGTTTTTGCCTCATTTGGCTTATGCAGCCCTGAAATATGGGAGTTACTTCTGAAATTGGTCCATCTATGTAACTCAAAGAGGGTTAGTAGTGTCCTTTTTCTTCCCATTTAATTTCAGAGACTCTTAGTAATTCTTTCAAATCAATTCGCTATTTTTTGATGGTGGCCCATCCCTTAGTCTGAAAAAATGATGGATGCTAAAATATAGGAAAGTAGTACACTGTGATTTTATAAGGAATTAAAATTTAAAATGTCTTGTTTATCGTTTACCTCAGGGCATGTGTACCTTAGCTGTGTCCATTTGGAAACATTAAAATGCACAAAAAAGAGAAGTAAGAATCCCCCAATAAGTTATCACTATTATTATATGAATGTATTTTCCTAAAAATAATTATTACAAAGAGTGTGTTAATAATGAGTTGTTTCTGCCGTGTAAGTTCACTAGGTGGCCATATGGTCGAAGCTGTCGATGTAATTGAGTGGAACCTGTACCCTGAACCTCTGCTGGTTCATATTTTGGAGACTTAGGCTTAATTAAATTACGTTTACATTGCTTAAAAGCAACCATATGTTTACAAAATCGTAATGCAAAAGTATTCAAAATGCTTGTCATCTAAATAGTGTCTTTCTTACGTAGATATGTGTGATTCGATATTCAGTGCCCATATTAATACTGCTGTATCTTGGCTGTAAGGTAAGACTGACTTTCTTCATTCTGTCATTAATCCCTCTTGCCAGGTCAGTGCTTTGACTCGACATACTGTGTGCATTACTTGACAGTAGCGTAGTTGTGGAAGGTACCATGGGTTGGGAGATATAAATATTTCCTTAACTTTTTATTGTTATTCAAATTGACAGGAAAAGGTATTGATGTTGCCCAATTGTTTCTTAACACGTAAAAGAAAAACAAATTATAGCAAGAGCTAGTAGAATTAAGTTGTTCTGGTAATTTTGGGTATTTAAGTGTTCATCAACTACAAAAACAAAGAGGTTTCGAAATCTACTTTGAGATGATAAAGTAGAACAATTATTTCCCCCTGTTGCCTAAGCTTTTTGAGAGTTTTAAATGTATCTAACTGTACTGTACATAGATACTGAAAATCATCTTTGTTGTGGAGCACATACATATAAATAGTCATCTTGGTCTTTCTGGCTGTTCTCTGGTTTCCATAGGAAACCATGCAACTCTTCCTAGTCTCAGGTGACTGCTTTCTGAGGCCACATTACTGTGCTTCAAGCCTCAGACTGGGCAAGAAGCAGGTGTCGTGGGCCCCGCTGACGACTTTGTCACGCCTGCCACGTCGTGGGGATGAGACTTGCAGTGTTGCCTAGCAGGTCGCACAGATTATTTCACCAAGCTGTGCTCTTGCCCTCACTTTTTAAACGACCTTCCTGGTTCGTTGCCCCCCATTTTTATGTAAAGTTAGAACAATGGATCTTAAACTGCCCTGTACCGAGTCGCCAGGGATCGCTGGCATTGAGCACAGTGGGTTACACGTGGGCTGCTGACCTTCCATCCAGCAATTTGAAACCTCCAGCACTCCACCGGCACGAGGCTTTCTACTCTCATAAAGATCCGCGGCCTTGGAAACCCAGGGGGAGTTCTACTCTGCCCCGTAGGATCACCACCAGTCAGAATCAGGTTGCTGGTGGTGAGTTTGCTGTTGGGCCGCTGGCTGGTGGGGCTAGGGAGGCCCTGCCACCACAGCTCAGCTTTGGGTCCCCTTGCTTATGTTTCAGGGAGATTCCACTTAGAAGTCAGAGGCTAGAAAGAAAAGGCAGATGTTTTCTCTCTCTCTTTTTTGTTCATTCTCTTAGATTTTTTTTAAATTATGTTCTAGCTTTTTCCTGTTGTTTAGAAATGTTTGCTACTCTTGGGCAGTATGCTGAGACATCTAGACATACGCCTTCCCAGGAGTCGTATTACTTTTAGTGTAAAGAAGGACAACGGGCTCAAAGCTTCTGGAAAGTCACAGCTGAGGAATTCCAACAGAGCTGAAATTGCTGATCAGGCAAATGTACTGTACACATGAATCCTGGGATAAAGCAACCCCTTCACAGAAAGCTGCAGGTTCCCCGGCCTCTGTTTATGGAGGCCGAGTTCATTGACGTCGCAGCCATTATTTAAAAGTTTACTGGCTATTTTCAAAGCGATTTGCGGTGTCTTGCTCCTGCTAAAATGAGGGAGTGCATTGCAGAAGAAACGCTGCAGAGTAATTGGCTTACACAGTGTGGTCCCCGGGCAGCATGTTAGAAATTCAGATTCTTGAGTTTCACATCAGCCCTACTTACTGAGCCAGGAACTCTAGAAAGTGGACTATGCGAGGGCTTTGAAAAGTTTGTGGAAAAGGGGAAATTCCGTTATATTTCATTCCCATCAACTTCCCTCGTGTGTCACTCAGCTCTGCAAGTGATGCGTGTGAACTGTCAGGCTGGAGAAGTGCCTGCTGGCTCTACAGAGCGCAGCAACACTGTAGACCAGGGGTTCTCAGCCTCCCTCACGCCGCGACCCTTTCATACAGTTCCTCATGTTGTGGTGACCGCCCCCCACCATAAAATTATGTTCACTGCTACTTCATAACTGTAATTTTGCTACTGTTAGGAATCGGGCAAACCCTGTGAAAGGGTTGTTCGACCCCCCAAAGGGGTCGTGACCCACAGGTTGAGAAGCATTGCTGTAAACATTTGGGCCTGTAGTTCTTTGTTATCTAGGGCTGTCCTGTGTACTGTTTAAGGTGTCCAACAGCATCCCTGGTCTCATTATAGAGCCACTAGATGCCAATAATTCCTCACTTTTCCTTTTAATGATCAAAAATGTTACCAGGCACTAACAAGTGTCTTGGGGGTGGGGGGCGAATCCTACCCGCCTTCAACCCTGCCCAGTTATAGCAACTGCTGCTCTGGCACATAGTGGTAGCACTGAAAGCCATCATTTCAAACTAGTCATGGCCCATTTCTCCTAGTACACGAGTTGGTATTTTGAAGACCCTCCATGAGAGCATGGGGCCAGCCCCTCTCCTTGCTGACACAGCCTTGTTCCTTCATGTCAGATGGGTCAGCTAACTCGTGTCTTCCCATCTTAAAATATGAAACCACAAAGAGGAATGTATATTTAAACACTGCCATTGAGTGGATTCTGACTGCCCACAGTCCTGCCCTCGGTCGCCAAGCCCGCCAGCTGTGGAAGCAGATGGATGGCCACGTCTCTCTCGCAGAGCGGCTGGCAGGCTCAGACCCCAGTCCTGTCGGTCAGCAGCTGGCTGTTAGCTTACCCACTGCCCCACTAGGACTCCTGTTCTATCTAATTAGGGCTGCTGTGAATCTGAATCGGTTTCTCCACTACTGTGAACAGATTCTTTGAAGGAATGTGAATGCATGTCTTATAAAGCCGGATTTGAGTTTTATGTAGCCATCTTACTGGGGAGTTCAGAGCTGCTTGAGCACAGTGCCGGGGAACATGTCCTCGTCCCCACGTTGAAGGCGAAGCTCTGTCCGTTTCGGCTCTAGTCTTCAGTGACTGATGGAGGTGGCTGCAGTCTCAGTGGACTGTTTTATGTTTGGAATCTTATATAAGCCGTTGCCGATGGTCTCAAAGCAGCCTTGAGACAATTTAACATGGGCTTTCATAGTGGTGCCGTGGCTAAAGCACTTGACTGCAAACCCTGGGAGAAGATGTGTCCACCGGCTAGATAGCCTGGGACACCCATGGCAGTTCTGCTCCACCCATAGGGTTGCGAGGAGTCAGAATCACCTTGACAGGGTGCAGTTGGGGGTTTTCACATTAAGGAGCCTGCTATGAGAACATGTTTTAGGCTTTCTGTGTTTTCAGGATTAATGCTTCCAGCTTCCAAATCATATCCATTCAGTTCACAGATTTTAAAATATGATTTAGAGCAATGGTTCCCAAACTTATTTGGTCTACCAACCCCTTTTCAGAAAAAAAAAAAAAAAAAAATACTACTCAGTGCCCTCCAGTGGCAATTAACAACTTATATCCTACCACCCATCGTCCCGGGTAAAGTGGAGGCATCTGCTTTCACAGCTCCCTTGGGTCATCCCAGCGCACACGCGCACACAGCAGTATCACTTACTTTGGGAAACACTGACTTAGTGCATATGATTAAAAGTATGTATTCTGTTAATTATCAAAATCGATACTTGATAGTAGAAATATTACAAGGATCTAATTTAATCCGTAGTTTTCACTATATTTTTTCCAAACACTAGAACCAGAAGTGCTGACACCTGATTTCTCCACTCCAGCAATTGTCCTGATTCACCCACGTAGGAGATAAGCTGTGAATGATGAACAGCATAAAAAGGAGATGAGATGCGCATGAGCAGTAAAAAGTGGCCCAGGATGAGCTGGCAGGTTAAGAACAAGAGCAGGAGAGAACAGTGTGGACCAGCCAGCTGCTGCTTCAGTTCTAGTTAGCGGATTTAAAGTAAAGTTCATCTCTTTCCCATATCCCTGAAACACAGATACATGTGGTCGTCTGGCACCCTATTCCAGATTTCAAATTAATTCTACTTTTAACCAGAGGAAGAGGTATCAGGCAGGAGGGGCACGGGGGTGGACTTCAAATAGGTTCATGGGCACATTGTCCTTTCTGCTTTTCCACAAACTTTATGAAGTTTCTTCATCTGGAAATAAATGATCCTGTCTTTTTGGCCAACCATCAGTTGATCAAATAATTAAACTTGGACTAATTGTTAAATTAAAGTTATAGTAGCAGCAAATTCAAGGTATAATTTTACATGTTTTGTATAACGTGGTGTAGCTGAAGCTACTATGATGGCATAGCGATGCTACTCGATTGACCAGTTTCTCCGGGAAAGCCCTCCTGTCAGAGCCCCTTCTCTCCCCGGCCCCTGTAGTTACCATGCTGCATCGAACCATCTTTCCAGAAGGAGACTAGATGTCTAGTTCAAAAAAGGCCAACACGGTATCCCACGGCGAAGAGGGGATTGGACTTGAGTCAGGTTCCCAGTCCGCTGCTTGGTGACCTGGTCAAGTCAGGTCCCGCCTCTGAACTGCCGACCCTCCCTGGGAGAAAGAAGACCGCAGAGGAAGGATGGAGATGCCTACCTCGGGCTCCATGAGGAGGGCCTGCGATCCGTGTTTGGAGACCATTCTGAAGCTGCGACAGGGGCAGCTCCCCCATGGCCACGGGCAGTGCCCTTGTGCTCTGCAGACTAGATCATAAATATATGCAGACTCTCTTCATTAATTCGGTCTTCGTGACGGTTGTGGGCTCGTGGTGGAGTTTCGTTTTGTTTTGTTTTTAATTTCAGGTCTGGCCAGGAATGATGGCTGAGCTCTCCGAGTTGAGAGAATTCTATGATCCAGACACAGTGGAGCTGATGCACTGGATTAAGTAAGAGGGCTTTTTGTTTTGTTTTTTTCATTTAACTTTTTAAAATTTCAAGTGTCTTTTAAGAGTCACTATAGACCTCACTTGTTGTTGTCTTTTCATAAACCTTTTTTTTCCCCTTGAAAGTCTGTGGTTGGACATCATTTCTTCCCAGTCACGGACTATTCTCTCCCAGCCACAGCCTCATGGAGAAGGGAAGATACTCTGGAAGGGAAGTGGGTCCGGTGGGGTGGGGCGGGTAGCTGTACCTCTCAAGCCACTGATAGAAATGGAAGGAAAACGGTCTACCTATCTAAGTTCAGACATAAAGTTTGCCTGTCCTCGTTGCTTGCTCTCACTTTACTGCCATTCAGTGTCCATTGCTGCTGCTGCCTTTGCGTGTTTGCTTGTCGATCTGTAGTATGAATCACAGTGCATGCAAGTCAGAACAGCCCGGCTCAGCCCGTGTTTCCACTCATCCTGCCTAAGCAGTCTGACTGCTAAGCGATTGTCCAAGAAAATTTAAAAGACAAATGCTAGAGCATCTCCTCTTTCGAGCATCACGAGGCTCGAGCATTATATTTGGCTCGTATGTCTACCTCCACTTTACTTTGCAAGAGCATTCAGCCTCTGAGTGAAAGCCACGTGTTTCCCCGCTTTGTTAATGCAACCTTTTCCCCCACCAGCAAAAATAAGCTCTCCCACCCCAGCAGCATTCCAATGCCCTGTGATGCTGTTTCTCTGTATATAACCCAAAAGCAGCAGCGGGACTATTCACACATCAATAGACGTTGCAGATCTTCTGTGGCACACTCGGGGAACATGAGCTGTGTGGTCTCCATCACTTAGAATGTTAGTAGCCTTATTGGCACTTGCTCATGACTGATGTTGACTAACCAGTACAGTTTAGCACCACTTGTGTATTAAAAGATGGTAAATGTTTGATCGCTCGGGCCTCTCGAGTGCAATGCGTGGATTTTATAGAGATTTATGTCGAGAATGTCTGTGTGCCTTTGGTCCCAGTGCCGGTCTGGACTGACTCGATGCAGTGAGTATAATTTTTCACATACTTCTAGGGCTGAGAGTGCTAAGCCATGTTTTGTCTTTGTTTACTAATTTAATTTTAAATCATGGCAGATAATTATAGAGTAAATAATTCCTTCGGTATTTATCGTATATAGGGAAAGACAATTATTCATATAAGGAAAAGCTAATTACTTTAGTATTAACTATAGTCAACTGGAAGCATATGACTTGTACATCTGAAAGTGAGGCTGCTATTTTCTGTGTTTAAAATTACACTGTGAAAATTAATACCACAGGGCACCCACGCTCTTGTAGCATCCTGAAGGCACTGGGTCTCCTAGACCTGCCTTGGCCCCCTCCTCCACTCCCCTTTCAAGAATTAACTACAGAGCCATTAAAAATTCATTCCAGCAGAGCCCTGGATTATCTTTGGCTTCTGAGACTGGATGCATTTATTTGTAGTGCCTTTATTTTCATGCCTTTCCTCACAGAAATTACTTAAAACCTAAGTAACGTCTCTGACTCTGAGAAACTGTAGGTAAGAGATAATTCTGGGCGAGAAGAAGACAGCACAGTGGCCTCCTGCTCCTGACTCCTCTTATTCAGGGCTGTGGTCTGGGCTCCTTTTATGCTTCCACTGGCAGCTCCTCCCCCGGCACTTCGTGCCTTTGCCGCCATCCTCCTTTGCCTTATTATCACTGTTATTTATTTAATGCTCAACAACTGAAGGATTCGGATTGTTCACAAAAATTGGTTCCATTGTGATCTAACAGCACCTGGTTTCCCTGAAAATCCCTCAAATCCAAGTTATCAGTTGTGAAAAGAATAGCTGCTAGGCATGTTTGCGGAATAAGCTGAAGTGAGAATGAACGTATGCCAAAACAGAGTCTATTTAGACACAGAGTATGTTTGTTTATATCAACATTTAAATCAGCTCTGGTCTGTAAGCTCCGATGCCAAACGCAAGTGATTTCTTTTGCTTCTGAAGCGTAAAAGGTGACCTTCCACCGTCACTCTGCCGCCGCAGTGAGTCACACAGGGTCGATGTGCTCGAGGTATGAATGTGCTGGGGAGAAGCCAGGCTGTCCTTCAGCAGTCTAGTGGAAGCACTCCGCTTGCTGCCTGTCCTTCTCAGTCCAATCAGGACACTATCTATCATGGGAGGAACAGGAAAGGTGCAGCCGCCATGGCTGGATGGGTGTGAAGAAACCATGATCTGCAGAAGCACCATGAAACCCTTCTTTTGGGGCCTTTCTCTGTAAAGGTTGAGAAGATGCTTGTCCATCGCCTCCATCCAAGTACTGCGTGTACTTGATGCTGTTGTGCTCAGCACGGCTGCAGCAGGCTTTGCGTTTGGGCTTCCATTTGGGGAGTAGATCTCTCCAAGTTTCTGCTGAGGGCTTCCCTATTTGTGGGGAAATTGAGAGATCCTACACACACACACACACACACACACACACCCAGCAGAAGTTAGTTCTTTTCTTGTACATTGTGAGAGGCTCAGCTCTTTTATAGGTGCTGTCGTGAACTCGGCATCCTTTTTATAGCCTAAAGGGAAAAGAAAGGGCGTTCATTTAGGATGATATTAACATGAGAAAGATTATTCTGGTGTTTCTGAGTATATTTGTGAGTATATTGAAAGCTTCAATACATCGTCATTTCATATATGAAGTAGATGGTTATTAATATAATTTAGTAAGTGTGCATCGCGCACGGCTATGTATATGATCCACTTGAGCTGTGGTAGCAGTCCATTATGAGTGCCACTTCCGTCGAGGGAACATGGAGCCCCATCTCAGTGTCACTGCCTCATTATTTTCTTCCAGGCTTTTTCTTTAAAACCAAAACCAGCTGGTGTTTGGTAGGTCCACCTTGGAGGACCTACGAGTGAAGCTGTGCGCCCGGGTGTTCCACAGGCCGGTTTCCAGGCCAGCCCAGGAACCGCATGGCTTGCTGGTCAGCAGCCAGGAGTGTTGCCCCTTTGCACCACCAGGGACTCCCATCTGTACCTCAGCTCTCGTTTCAAATGTTCACATATAGAAAGGGGTATCCAAAAAACACTGGAATTTTTTTTCCAAAGCTATGTATTTAAAGTTTTTTTATAAAACAACTTTATCACCTTCAAAGTATTCTCCATGACACTTAACACATTGGTCAAATCTGTGCTTCTATTCCTGGGGACATTTTTCAAACTCATCTGTTTGGATGGCTGACAGCACCTCTCTCGTTTTTTGGTTTTTTTTCTTCACTTCTTCTATAGCATCAAATCGTTGTCCTTTCATGTTCCTCTTCAATGTGGGAACAAAAAGAAGTCTCACGAAGTGAGGCCAAGGGAGTCATGTGTGGGGCAAGAGAGGCATGCTGTTTTTGCCAAAAGCTGGCACACTGAGATGACTGCATTGCTGGCACACTGAGCAGGTGCATTGTCATGGTGGCAAAACCAGTCCCCCATCTGCCACAAGTCAGGCCATTTTTGTAGCACACTGTTACCCAATCTTTTCAGAACCTCTGAATAGAAAGTTTGCTTAACAGTCTGACCTGGTGGAACGAACTCCAAATACACTAGGAGTCGACATTTTTGCCCCTTTGGGATGTTGACGGATGTCCAGAACGATGTTTGTCATCAATCAACCTTTCACCTTTTTGAAACTAGAAAACCACTTGCACACTTGCATTTTCCTCATAGCGCTGTCCTTACACACTATGTTCAACATCACAACAGTTTCTGTGGCATTTTTCCCAAGCAGGAAACAACATTTCACAGTTACATGCTGTTCTCTTAAATTGGCCATCACAAAAAATGAAGTTCTAGTGAAACTGCTTTCACGAAAAAATGGGCTGACCAGAGAGAACCTTCCCAGGGGACGGCACTGGCTGCACCAACTCAGAGCGAGCTGCTTGATGCTACTACAATGGAAGTTCCGCCCAGCAGAGCTTTTTCCTGGTTTTGGGGGGTGTGCCCCCTCGTACTTCACCAATGTTTTTAAAGAAGAATCTAGTTGTAATTTTCAGTAGTAGAAAATAGTTTATATTTTTCTTTAGTCTTCTAGAGGAGTAGTTGGTTTAAGTACAAAGTCAAGGCTGCTTAGACATTAAATTTCTTACTACCATACAGGACAGTTGTGTTGAAATCAAGTTCCCAGGGTGTGATGGCCCAGCCGCCTTTCCTTGAGAACCAGGAGTCAGGTTGGCCCTTTGCTGCCCACACCCCAAGCCCTTGTGGCTGTCTGCCTCCATGCTATTCCAAGGGAGCTGCAAGCGCGCTTGTCACTCAGACCATGTGTGCTTCTCTTTCCTGATCAGGTGGTGTGGTTTGAGGTAGGGGGCCAGCCCCCCCCCCCACTAGTCTCAAGTTCAGTAAGCACAATTGTATGGTTGAGATATATAAAGACATTAAAGTCACCAAGAGCATGAGAGATAAAAGAGCTATTACAATAATGGAGTCAGACACATTTCATGGTAGCATTGCTCACCTCAGCCCCACTTGGTATCCATGTAGAGAGAGGGGAAAGGGAAGGAAGACAGGGGGGAAGGGAGACTGGGGAGGAGAGGGAGCCTACAAGAGGAGGCCAGGGAGGGAGCTGAGAGAGTGAGACGGCAAGAGAGCGATCTCTATTGCTAACCCAGGCCTTTAAACCTTTTGGGGGTGTGCAAGCCCACTAAGTACAGGTAAAGACATATATCACAGGAAAGGGTTGCACTATACGTTATACAGCAATGAGAGGCGGTGGTCTAGAGGCATACCGGCAATAGGAAGAGGAGGGCTTGGGGGTATACATGTGACAAGATAGGCGGATCCTAGAGTTAGGATGGCAGCTTAACTTTGACCTGTTCTCTAGATCTCCATAGGAACCATTATGCGCTCACGCACAAAGGTAATCAGTTTGTTTATTATGCAGGGACCGAATGTGAGAATAACCAAGAGAATGAGGAGGGGCCCAATAGGGTGGATATTAAGGTAGTCATCCAGGGGGAACGGTTGAACCAGGACTCACACC